AAGAGTCCCTGAGATCTGCGTGCGCCTCGTGCGTTGCAGCTCGCCGGGGTAGGAAATGCACGTGAGAAGGCAGAATTTGGGCTTCCCAAAGGATGCCGTGACGCTTCTGAGTTGCACTTTCTTTTTTGGGAAAGAGGGCCAGTGGGAGCCGCTGGCTGCGTTAGCGCCCCCCCCCCCCCCCCCCCCCGCTGCTGCTGCTGCTGCTGCTGCTGCTAGATAAATTGTCGGTTCCGCCCAAGAGCTGGGAAAGGCCGGGGGGTGAATTGCTGGTGGGCGGTTGTGGCTTCGGATATGGCTAGCGCGGCAGGAGGAGGGGACGCTCGCCTGCCTGATGGACGGCCGGGGACAGCAACGCTGGACAAGATCGGCCCGGAGCAGATTTTGCCGCCAGCACAGCAGCAGACCGTGCCGGACTCTGCAGAACTGGTGAGTCCTGCATGCTGAAAAATCGAACAGGAGCCTAGTTGGGACAACCTCTTTCTCTCGACGCAAAGTTTGGAGAACTTGAACCCATTGCTTCAGATGCGATGCTGTGACTCCTCACTAGGCAGACGTTGTATGTAAGGGAGCTGGGTTTTTAGGCTCCAGGGGCTATAAAATGCCGGGAGCACAGGGTGAAATGTAATGATATAAACTGTAAGTCTAATTTTATTTTATTTTTTAAGCGTGACCTTTCACTCATTTTGCTAAATTCCTGTAATGGATGTGGAATCGCAGGTTTTGCAAAAACAGTATAGAGATTGTTGTGATGATAGAACGTATAATTTCAGTAGAACAAATTTAGAGTCCGGCGGCACCTTGAAAACCAGCAAAGGTTTATTCAAGGTATGAGCTTTCGTGTGTGTGCACGCTTTTTCAAATACATTGGAATGGTAGGTAAATTTTAAACTTATAGACAGGGACTGAACAGCAAATTAACATGTAACATGACAATGTTTAATATATGCAAAGTCAAAAATAACAAGCTAAGGTTATAAGATCAACAGTTGTAAATCAATAAATATGTCAGAATAGCAGATAAATGTCTAAAGGTGTTCTTTTCTAACTGTGGAAAGCAAACCGAGAATCTCCATTCTCTCTCCCCAGGCGTGGAGATTACTTAGCAGCAGTTTTTGAGGTGGATGGATGCAGTGTCATGTCAGCAAAACATCCCAATATTCCTTGCATTACATTCAGTATTCTAATATAGTATTCTGAAAAAGAAATACACTAAAATATAGAGGATTTATAGTCCTTCTTGTTGAGGATACATATGTGAGGACTGAATGAGTTAGCATATGTAATGGTGATAAGAAATCAATATCCCTGTTGAGTCCTGGGGAGGTTTTTGTTCCAAGTGTTGTAATAATTTGTAATTCAGCAATTTCCCTTTCCAATCTGTTCCTGAAGTTCCTTTGTAATAAAACAGCTGCTTTGAGGTCACCATTGAATGTCCTGGAAGGCTAAAGTGTTCTCCTACAGGTCTCTCAGTCTTGTGATTCCTGATCTCCACTACTGGGAAGAGAGAATGGAGATTCTCGGTTCGCTTCCCACAATTAGAAAGGAACCTTTAGACATTTAACTGCTATTTAAACATATTTTTGCTTTACCAGCGTTGACCTTATAACCTTAGCTTGTTGTTTTTGACTTTGCAAATCTTAAACACCATCATGTTACATGTTAATTTGCTGTTCAGCCCCTGTCTATAAGTTTAAAACTTACCTACCATTCCAATGTATTTGAAAAAGCGTGCACGCACACGAAAGCGCATACCTTGAATAAACCTTTGCTGGTCTTCAAGGTGCCCCTGGACTCTAAATTGGTTCTACTGCTTCAGACCAACACGGCTGACCACTTGTATAATTTCAATATTAGTCTAGTGCAGGAATACCCAACACGGTACCCGCAGGCACCACAGCACCCGCCATGACCTCTTCTGGCACCTGCTGATTTTTTTTAGGAAGTGAGTGGGGCCAGGTAGGGCTTTTTCCCAGCAAGGGTTCAGATTACATAAGAACATAAGAGATGCCAATGTTGGATCAGGCCAAAGGCCCATCCAGTCCAACACTCTGTATCACACAGTGGCCAGAAATACCAGTGCCATCAGGAGGTCCACCAGTGGGGCCAGGACATTAGAAGCCATCCCACTGTTGACCCCCCAAAGCACCAAGATGACAGAGCATCACTTGCCCCAGAGTCCCTATCTATACCTTGTGGCTAATAGCCACTGATGGACCTCTGCTCCATATGCTTATCTAATTCCCTTTTGAAGCCATCCATGCTTGTAGCCGCCACCACTTCCAGTGGCAGTGAATTCCATGTGTTAATCACTCTTTGGGTGAAGAAGTACTTCCTTTTATCCGTTCTAACCCGACCGCTCAGCAATTTCATGGAGTGCCCACGAGTTCTTGTATTGTGAGAAAGGGAGAAAAGTACCTCTTTCTCTACCTGCTCTTTCCCAAGTCGTCATTTCTCCAAGCTAAAGAACCCTAAGCACCTTAACCTTTCCTCACAGGGAAAGTGTTCCAACCCTTTTATCATTCAAGTTGCCCTTTTCTGCACTTTTTCCAAAGCTATAATATCCTTTTTAAGGTGTGGTGACCAGAATTGCACACAGTATTCCAAATGAGGTCGCACCATTGATTTATATAGATTGATAATTGTATGGAGACATCATCCCACAAAATCCTAGGCAGTAACTGTGACTCAGCATACTGGGTCAAGGCATAATGGGGAGATCCAGGAAAAAAAGCTACATTTGAGAGTCAGAATGAAGGGGAAATGATCACTCATAATAAAACCAACCCAGAATGAAATCTAAGACATAAGTCTTCAATGAGGGTGAAACCAAAAAATAATCACCCTACAACCTCTTGTTGATACAAAAGTAAATTCACCAGAGCTGAGAAAGTTAGTTAACCCATCCAGCCAGATTCTATTAAATTGGGCACAAAATGTTGCAAGGCAAATGCCTGCTGAATTCAAGTGGTCATCCTTAGAATATCTCATAACGGAGAAACTAGGTGGAAGTGTATCGTCCTGATCAACTTCCAGAGCCTGAAGAATATTCAATGGTCATTGCCCACTCTTTTGTTAAAGTGACCCCCTAAAATTATTTCTGCAATGGGAATTTTTTCTTCCAGTTCTTCCATAAGAGTCGCTAAACGTTTCCAATGCTGGAACAAAGCTGAACTTCCTACGGAAGAAGGTATATATAAATTTATAATGATTAGGGTGAAATTATCAAAGTCAATCTTAATGACTTGCTCCATAGAGCTGTCTGCTAGTAAAGTAATAATTTCTGATTTTTAGATGTAGAGAGACAAAAGTGGATAGGCCAATTTGAAAACAGCCCCTACACATGTGTCGGTGAGACACTTGATCTCTCCCTGGAGGATTTACCTGACTGGCCACCCATGTCACCTGCTAAAATAAAAGAACTGATTGTCCAGTTGAAGCTAGGGAAGGCCTCTGGCCCAGATATAATATCCTCTGACGTGATAGCGGCACGCGCACAAAGCACATGCACCAGGAGGCTCCTGGGGACGTCCGGGACTCCCCCCGGTATTACAAAGGTAGGACTTGGCAACCCTAGTCCCCACCCATTATATGCTCAGAATAGCTTGACTTTGCTACTACACACATAAAGTGTGTGCTGAAAGAGTAGGGAAGCTCTTTATTCACTTGGGAGTGATAATAAAGTGGTAAACAGTCCATGCCCTGACATGGATGGCCCATGCGACCCTGATCTCGCCAGACGCCTGAGCTGGCCCTGGTTGGATGGGAGACCACCAAGGAAGCCCACCGCTGACATAATGGCACTTTCCTCCACCACCACCACCACCACTCTAGCTACTGAGATTTGTTTTATAGCTCAAAAAAAGGCCTTTGGTTACGTGTGGCAGGGGAGGGAATGGCGGCTGCGCGCAGGAACAGAAAGATAAGGGAGAAAGGGCATTGATGTTGATGGGATCTTCGAAAACAGGCCACCTTTCCATCAACAGACATATGAGCATGATGATCATTTCAAATCTGGCCCAGGAAAGACTGAAGCAAAGCCGGTGAAAACCCAGAAAACGGATGAGTTGGGGAAACATCATTTGGATGTTCCATCCCCTCACCCCAAACTCCTATTCTGATGCCAAACTGAAGCAAAACCTCTGCGTATGAGCGGTGCTATTTGCGTGGGCTACCTAAAATGTAGTAGATGCAATTTACTGGAACAAAGTGAGTACCTTTTGTTACCTGAGAGCCAGCGTGGTGTGGTGGTTAAGAGTGGCAGACTCTAATCTGGAGAACTGGATTTGATTCCCCACTCTTTCGCTTGAAGCCTGCTGGGTGACCATGGGTCACTCACAGTTGTCTCAGCCCCACCTACCTCACAAGGTGTCTTTTCTGGGGGGAGGAAGGGAAGGTGATCGTAAGCCGCTTTGAGACTCTTTAGGGTAGAGAAAAGCGAGGTATTAAAAAACCCAACTCGTCTTCTGCCTTTCATACCAACTGTGCCTTAAAAACCCATAATGGACCACGTTTAATTTGAAGGGAAAATTTTCTCATTATGATTCCTGGTGGGGGAAATGTTTACAGAGGGGTAGCTGTGTTGATTTGTCACCGCAAAAATAAACAAGAACCTTGTGGCCCCTTGATAGTGAAAAAATATTTTCTTCTAGTGTAAGCTTCCACAGATTAGAGTCCACTTCTTTAGGTAAGAGTCTTCTCTATAGTGGAAAATGTTTATTTTTTGGTTTCATTTCCCAAATTATCTTGATCCCAATTATTAACACAGACTGGTACTGATTGCAGCCAGTTTATGATCAACACGTAGGCTTTTTAAGGCAAGAGATGTTCAGGTGGTGGTTTGCCATTGCCTGCTACCACACCACGACCCTGGTATTCTTTGGAGGTCTCCCGTCCAAATACTAGTCAGGGCTGATCCTGCTTAGCTTCCGAGATCTGACAAGAGCAGGCTAGCCTTGGCTATCCAGGTCATGGTGGCTTAGGGTTGCCAGCCTCCAGGTGGGGCCTGGAGATCTCCTGCTTTTACAACTGATCTCTAGCTGACAGAGATCATCTCCCCTGGCGAAAATGGCTGCTTTGAAGGGGGAACCCAATGGCACTGTACCATGCTGAGGCCCCTCCCCTCCGCAAACCCCGCCCTCTCCTGGATCCACCCCCAAAGTCTCCAAGTATTTTCCAACCCAGACCTGGCAACTCTATGGTGGCTGAGAATCACTGGGGGAATATAAAAGGTAAAGGTAAAGGTTCCCTTGCTCGAAAGCCAGTCGAATCCGACTCTAGGGTTGCGGTGCTCATCTCCGTTTCAAAGCCGAAGAGCCAGCGCTGTCCGAAGACGTTTCCGTGGTCATGTGGCCGGCATGACTAAACACCAAGGCGCACGGAACGCTGTTACCTTCCCACCAAAGTGGTACCTATTTATCTTCTTGCAATTTCTTGCTTTCGAACTGCTAGGTTGGCAGGAATATAGTTGAAATTGAATTTAAAAATCCCAAATACTTTTCTCCAGGGATGAAAGTCTGTTTTGGAAACTGGAAAGGTTTTCTGGAGACAGATACCAAAAGGAAATTTTTACGTCTTGTTGTGTCATTATTGCCTCTGCGATAAGCCCAGCAGCCTAGAATTTTATCTTGAGACCCTCCCTGTTCTGTAGTTCCATCCCCCTCTCCTCCAACTGCTGCTGGTTTGTTCTGGTCCTTGCTGATAAGGACCATGAACATGTGTGAATACTAAAGTGGCAACCAATGATATTAATTTCTGTCACTGAAAATATATCATTTTACGTTTGTTCTAAGACTGCTTTTCTTATTAATGCTGTTCTGTTTTTAAAATTCATAAACTGAAAAGTGTGCATCAGCACTGACAGGAAAACTGCCATTTTTAAAAATTTTCCAGAAGCTTCTACACATCTTACCCGCCCCACTGTTCACTGCGTATTATGTGGTTAATTCTACAATATCATTTTCAACATTCCTTTTAATGAGGGTCTCAAATAATTCAAATTTCTCCTTTGCTAAGGTGGACCAAGTGAAGTAGTAATCTTTTTGCAAACCCTGATTTGGATCTGTGGTTTTCCTGCTAATTATTTTTGGCTCCGCAGAACTAATTTGTTTATAGAGAATTAAAAGTGTATTCAATATAAAAACGTTAAAAACTAATTGGTTAAAAACATTAAAACAGGCATTCAGTACATTAAAAGCCATATTAAAAACCAGTCCAAAGATACCCCACTAACAGGGTATTGCTACTTTCCCCAGGGTCAGGCAGCCTGAAAGCTCTCTGGAGTAACTCACCAGAGTAACTTTTAGTCTCACTGGAAAGCTAGGAGGCCTACAGCCCCCCTGACCTCTTCTGGGAGGCTGTTCCACAGACATGGAACAGTCATTGAATAGGCCGCAGCCCAGATTATGGCAAAACACACCTTAGACAAAGGGGAACAGACAATAGACCTTGCAAGGAAGTAATAAGCTGACATGTGGAAACATGCAGGGAGAGGCATCTGTCAAATATGTGGACTCCAGGTCCTGAATGGCACCAGCACCTTGAACTGTACCTAGAAACTAATCAGCAGCCAGTGAAGAGACCTCAGTGTGGGAGGAATATGATCCCATCATCTAGTCCCTGATAACAAATAAGCTGAGACAGAGTTTCTTCTAACAGAATTTAGCTGCTGTAACAAATTCAAATGTGCTGTGTGTGCAGTGATAACATTTCAAACTTATAGAAGAGATATCTAGGTGACCTGGGTAAATTTCCATCGAGAAAGTACTTCAGTAGTTGTGCAGCCAGTGTCTTCAGTGGTTTTGTATACAAGGTGCTGTAATTTCTGTCAGTGGCTTGGAGCAGTGCTGTTGTTGTTGTTCAGTCGCACAGTCGAATCTGACTCTTCGCAACCCCATGGACCACATCATGCTGGGCCCGCCTGTCTTCTGCCATCCTCTGAAGTTGGCTCAATTTCATGTTCGTTGCATCTATGACACTGTCTAACCAACCCCCCCCCACCTGGCCAGGAACACGGTAGTTGAGGAGTGGAACTGCAGAGAGAAGGGAGAATCAACAAAACTGCTTTTCCTTATCTTCTGTGAGACTAAAGGGATCTTACAGTGCAATCCTAAACAGAGGGACACCTTTCTAAGTTTATTGAGAGCCATACCTGAGATTCTGTTGCCATTCCTAGGGGTCCACTAAGAAAGACTCTACAGAGGAAGGCAATGGCAAACCACCTCTGCTTTTCAGTTGCCACAAAAGCCCCTTGCTGGGGTCTCCGTAAGTCAGTTGCAACTTGATCACACACACACACACACACAGAGGCTACAGTACATTTACTGCATTTGTAGTGATGCTTTCTTTATTTAAAAAGTTTAAATCCAGCCTTT